TGTTCAGATTGGGTAATTTTTATTGTTCTATCTTTCAGTTCACTGACTCTTTCCTCTGTCCCCTCCATTCTGCTGTTGAGCCCATCTGCTGAATTTTGACCACTTCTTCTGTTGGTTATTATGTTTTTCAGTTCAAAATTTCAAATTGTGGTTCTCCTTTATATTTTATACTTCTTTGCTAACACTTCTTATTTCTTTTCTGAGTTTTTCTATTTTTATTTTCATTTGTGTCAAGCATGTTCATAATTGTTTCTTGAAGTACTTTTTTATGATGGATAATTTAAAGTCTTTTTCAATTAATTCTAACATCTCTGTCATTTGGTGTAGGCCTCATTTTTCATTCAGTTTGAGATTTTTCTAGTTCTTGATATAAAGAGTGATTTTTTAATTTTAACTTGGACATTTCTGTATTATGATCTGAAGTTCTGGATCTTATGTAAACTTTAGTTTTAGTTGTTGTTGTTGTTGTTTTGGATACCACTCTGGCAGGAAAAGGGGGTATGCTGCCTCATTACTGCCAGGTGGAGGTGGACATCCAGGTTCCTCATTCGACCTCTGCTGTCACCCAAAGAAGGGGACCTCCTCATTACTACTGGGCAGGGATAGGAGTTCTGGCTTCCCACATGGTCTCCATTGACACCATGGTGGCAGTGGTTTCATTACCACTTGGTGACAGTCAAAAGTCCTGATTGTCCACTTTTCTGAAAGCATCTCAGTGGGGAAGGGGAGGTTATCCTCATTACTGGCATACAGGGGACTGGATGCTACTTAGTAATAAAATCTGAATGCCGGCACAAATGAACATCTGGTGAGTGGCCACTGCATCATGATATCTCAAGGTTTTGGCAGCTCTGCAGTTCCTACAAGGTACATCTCTTTTGGTTAGTGACAATCAGGGCATTAACAGTTCTTTCCAGGGAGCTGACCCTGATTCTTTAATTAGCTGCAATTCTGAGCTCAACAGTTATTCCTTCTACCCAGGTACCTTGCACTACTCTGAAAGGATTTGGCCACATCCATAATGCTCTATGTCTCTAGCTTACCCTCTTATTCTCCACAATGAAGGTCCATCTGCAGTATTTATCCCACTGTTAGATTTATGTACAATAGAATTTCCTCCATCTCCTTCCCTTTCATAGTTGAGTTTATCCCCATCAACTGGCTTTTCCAGTTCCTTTAAAAATTATTTTCCCTATATGTTCAGACCTATTCCTTATTATTCCATCACTCTCTTGGTCACTGGCTCCTCCTCCACTTATCTCAAGTCAACATTATTCTACTTTTCACTCTCTGATATTAGATCCTTATCTTAATAACACTTAGATGCTTTCATAGCTCTTGCATATAGGAAACATGCACATGGATGAGAACAGCCTTACTCTGAATATTCAGAGAGCAAAGAGGCACTCCTGGACATGAGTGAGTGGAGCTCAGATTTGTAGGTCAGTTGTTGAGCCAGTATTCCAGGTAGCAGGGATTTAGAAGGAGCACTCTTGAATGTGGAGTCAGAATGCCTTGAGGACTAATTTGGGAGATGTGCTTGCCTTCATAATTATGTGCTGAACTATAAAGGTACAAGGTATGCACTGATGTTTTAGTGAAGAATTAAAGACACTAAACAAATCATTACTCGATTGCTGTTGTCGGTGTCCCCATTACCCCATAAATGCTACATTTGTAGTATTTGATACTATACCACCAGCATCAAGCAGGCCATCAAGGAATAGTTATTAAGCCCAATTTTAAAAACATGATCCCATTTGGAAAGGAAAGAAGCAAATGAAAGGAAGGGAGAGGAAGGGAAGCAGGAAACAGAGCTTGGTTAACCTTAGTGCTGTCCACCTTCACTTTTGGTCTTTCCCCGACTAGGCACATGGCAGGATCCCACTTCCTGACCTGTCTGAGGTCAGGCACGTGATTGGTCTATATGATAGATGAAGCATGTCACTTTCTGGTGGCCTAACTTAAGAGTTAAGGTGTGATTCCTTTAGCTATGGCAAGCAGCACTGTTCCAGATGGGCGAGGCTACATCCCTGGCTGAGAGCAAATCAAGCATGGCTCCCTGCCAACCTAGCAAGGACATTCTATTCTGTGTGAGCAAGAAATAAATCTTTATAGTTTTAAGTGATAAAAAGCAGAGCTTGTGTATTATTATAATATAATGTAGCCTGTCCTGAATGATTGAAAATAGCAGGAGTATGTCTTTAGCAGTGGGAATATACATGATTTTTCTTTTTTCTTTCTTGCCTTTTTCTATTTTCTAGATTTTTAAAAACTTTTTACATCTATTTTTGACTTTTCTAGAATGGGTATTATTTTTGTCATAAGTCAATAACCTGGGGGACAAATTTTATGATTTGTATATGTTTATAATTTGAAGTGATGTTATCTTTTTACTGACAGATCATGAAATGTACAGAAATTAACACCTTGTTCTTGAGCCTAGGTTATGTTTTAGCACATACCCCTTAGTCACGAAGAACCCTGGCAGTGTTACATTGTCATTGAATGTTGGCCTACCATCTTGAGATGGGTCTGCTCAAGGCCCTATGAAATGCACCTCCACGAGGGTAGTGAACCCCTTGGGGTCTTAGGAGACATTTCCCCTTTATATGTGGTTTGCTTCCCCTGTATCTGTCATTTGCTAATGAGACCAGGCAACACCACCAACAATGATAGGCATTGCTTATAAGAGGGTTGTGTTTGCTAATTTTTCCTTCCCTCATCTTTCCCTTGTACCGCACACACACACATACACACACACACACACTATTATTAATAACGTGGGCAGGCTCATTTGAGAATACCAGAACATTTCCACGTTGTCTTTATCAGACAAGAGGGCCTTTCACTTGAATTTTTTAGTGATACCTGAAGAAAAGTGATCTTGTTTCTACTCTGGCCCAAACCCAGACCTCTGAAGCACAGGATTTTACGTGCGTGTATCTGCACATAGTTGCGGGTGGACCTGGATGAGATCAATAAAATCCCATGCCTTCAGGCTGGCAGACTTGAAACCAGGGCCAACCTGGAGAGAACTGACTGGGTCTCAGCCTTGTGTTTTTTCTTTCAATCTCCTCTGACACAAAGAGAAAACAGTTTTGATGTCTTTGATGATTGAGTTTCCATAGACTAAGAGTTTCTAGACATTTTTAAAAGGCTAATATTTTCTTTGAGATTTTGCCTACTGCCTCTAGAGTATTATTTACAGAGTTTTCTTCCACTTTACTAACCTAAAAATGTATAACACAACAGGCTCTCAATAGAAATAAAAACCCTCTTATTGGACCTATTAGAAAAAGATAGTAAAGCCCTAGTTTTATAGATAAACCCTTTGTAGTATAGTATATAACCCTTTATAGTATAGTTCAAAGGGACCAAAAAGAGCAAGGTTAGTGTTTAGCACTTACGCTAAGGAAAAACTTTGGGGAATGATCTTTTTTTTTTTTTTTTAAGGCACAAAAGAATTTTTAGATCCCAAACTACCTAAAAGAGAAAAGACAGCCTTATTAAAAACTTTTACATATTTAAAATCAGATTTGGAATAGTGAGAGATTATGACATATGTACAAATTAGTATAAAAAGCCTCTCTACCCTTGCCTGGTGGTTTCATTAAATTTTTTAAAATAAAATAAAATAAAATATACCCTCCAAAACCAAGACTTTTAATCAAATCATCTGGTTTATCTTCAAAATATGCGATTCCTTTGTATTCTGTAAAATGTTTAGGTAGAAGCAAAAATAATTTTTAAGTTTTTTTAAAATGTCGACCCTTATGTACACAGTTCAGGTACTTATATTGGGAGCTAGGTCTCGGTGTGCAAGATGCCCAGGGATCCTGTAAACTCGCAGGGCTCTGAAGAAAAGTTAATAACCCTCTTGCCTTGTTACTAAAAGGACCGAGGCAAGGCATTTCATACACCCTCAGGGATCAGCCTGCTGCCTGAACTGTTAGCTCGGGCAGCTAGGCTCCTTCTGCTTTCATCTCTTCTTGCTTACATTTTACAAAGATGTTTGTTGCGATGAAATTGATTGGCAGCACACTTGGCAATTCAAATTGAATGAGTTGTTCCTCCTTTTTAAATTCCACTAACCAAGATGAGTGCAATGCAATCTGTGGGGGCCCTACCTCAAGAACTCAGGTCCTGGGGCTGTGGGACTAGCTCGGACTTCATGGTCAAGGGCCCTTATTTTGTGGATCTAATTAGCGTGGAGAACTGCTTTTCAGTTTGTCTAAAAGATAAGCTTGCGCCCTGATCTGGATTCTAAAATTGGAAGCATTTGAAAGATGCTCTCATTTCCTGATATGTACAAAATATATTGACCTGCAGAAGAGGAGGCCCATATTCCCTCAGTTAAGGGGACCAGCTAGCCCATCCATCAACAAATATCTCTTCCCTGGGTCTTACTGTTTGGGTCCCAGGATGAAAGAAAGATCTAGCCCTTTGTGGAAACGTTGCCAGCAAATGCTGTCAGACGTTGGTGGATTCCAGAGGGCTCCAGCTCTTCAGATCATTTGAAATCATTTTCCAGTCCCTTCCTATGCCCAGAAAGTTCAGCTGCTGTCGCGATAACACTAGCAGAGAGGATTGTAGCTGGAAGGCGGAGAGTGAGGGAAAAGAGGGAGTGTGTGCTCAGGGCTTGGGGGACCTGAAGCTTTGGCTGCCTGACACATGGGAGAATTTGGACTCCCTGATTATCTGGGTCACACACACTCCTGTGCCACATCAGAGGTCATACCATTGTGACTTGGGAAGACAGAGCCGGCAACTATGCACGATTTTTAAGTTATGGAGTCAAAGGAGAGGAAAGAGGCAAGGGGGATAGAGGAAACGGTAGCAGCTAGGAAAGATGTGTGCTTGCTTGCTTTCTTCCTTACCATTAGCTTGTGCTTCCGTCAGAGAGAAGAAATAGGTTGTTCCCAAGGTTGCAGTCCTATGGGCCCAGTCTAGTCTGGAATGTGTGCTAATTGGTGTGCATTTCTCTCTTTCCACCCCAGGACAGCTTTCCTGCCCGCTTCGGAGGAGTCCATTTTGTCAACCAACCCTGGTACATTCACGCCCTGTACACGCTCATCAAGCCATTCCTTAAAGACAAGACCAGGAAACGGGTAATGAAAACAAACACCCAATGGGGGGATGCCAAGGGGCTATTGCTGGACCCTCCTCTCCATCTCTGTCTCCCCTCTCCATCTCTGTCTCCCCTCACTCTCTTTCTCTCTCCCTCTCTCCTTATTTTGCACTGTGGGTTTTCTGCTTTTCTGCACTCCCTGAGCATTTGAGCCCAGCTGGAGTTTGCAAATGGCCTGGATTTAATCAATAATTTAGTAGAACTGGGTTATTTTCAGAGTCCCAGTGACAAACCAAAGGAAACTTTGAAGGCATGCAAATACCAGATGCCCATTTTACTGTAAATGCTCGAGGGAGCTATGGGGTCAAGCAGCTTTCCGTTCACGGCATATTTTAATAGCTAGCGTTTTGTCCTGCAAATGTATTATCGTGATGAAGAACGTTTACCATTTGTTTTTCTTCCCTACGGCTCTTGGGTCATCGCTGCCAGCTCCATCACCTTTGAGGCTGGGAAAGCATTCTTCACGGGAAATAATAATGCTCTTAGGAAGAAGGCTTTTAAAGTCTTAATTGCATCAGCTGATGACATTTGGGAGGCCAGCACCTTCCATCAGAGCCGGGGTTTGTCATGGCATTCTGATTAGCCGAGAGACTGAACATTGTTCCACCACTCACTGTGAATCTCAGTTTCCTCATTTAGAAAGACGGGGAGACCAACACCCAGATCATGGAGCTGTTGGGTAATTTAAAGAGGCAGCATATGAAAAGCCGATCATGTAACGCCAATCACGTGGTAGCGACTCAGTGACTCATTCTCTTTACCATTTAGCTTCCTTTCTTTCAAACTTCCTGATTTCACTTACTTCAGGTGCACTACCTCTCAAGGGAATCTGACCAGGGTCATTCTTTTTTTTTTTTTCTCCTCTAATATATTTGTTTATTTATTATTTTATTTGTCAGAGAAAGAGACAGAGCACAAGCAGGGGGAGCGACAGGGAGAGGGAGGGAGAAGCAGACTCCCCGCTGAGCAGGGAGCCCAATGCAGGACTCAATCCCAGGACCCCGGGATCATGACCCAAGCCGAAGGCAGACGTTTAACCGCCTGAGCCACCCAGGCCACCCCTGACCAGGGTCATTCTTTTTTTTTTTTTTTTAATATTTTATTTATTTATTTGACAGAGAGAGACACAGCGAGACAGGGGACACAAGCAGGGGGAGTCGGGGAGGGAGAAGCAGGCTCTCTGCTGAGCAGGGAGCCTGAGGTGGGGCTCGATCCCAGGACCCCGGGATCATGACCTGAGCCGAAGGCTTAACGACGAGCCAGCCAGGCGCCCCCTGACCACGGTCATTCTTAACAGCACCTTGCATATGCCCCTATACCCAGGGGACCTCATGCTGGGGAAGAGTCTGAGTATGCAGGGGGGGAATGATGATATGAGGGCCCTCCGTCTGCGTACACAGTGTTCCTAACTCCTAAATCTCAGATGCTTCCAGATCCTTAGGAAACATTGCAGCAGGGTATGGGAGGGGTAATTCTCCTGTCCCCAAGCAAGGGTGGAACTAAGAACTAGAACTCACCAGCCTAAGAAGGCAGAGACATTTGGAAGCATTTTGCAATGTCGAAGGCTCAGGACAGTGCTAAGGACAAAGAAGTGTCTAGACTGTTCCCAGTATGGATTCAGGCTTCCCAGTGGCTGCATCTTCTACTCAGAAAGGAGCTAGTGTAATTCCTCCTACAAAGCAGTTTACACATGCTGCTGTGCCATAGAAGGGAGTTTCTGGAGCTCTGGGCACAGAATAGAATCTGACAGGTGAAGAGTCCAGCCTCCTATCTGCTGAGTTCTTCCATCCCACAGAGCCCCAGGAAACAGGGCCAGTTTCCACAGCACTGCTTATCCTTTAAGAACTGGAGATATTGGCTGTTGGTGGGAATGCAAGCTGGCACAGCCGCTCTGGAAAACAGTATGGATCTTCCTCAAAAAGTTAAGACTAGAGCTACCCTAGTCCCAGCAATTTCACTACTAAGTATTTATCCGAAGGCTACAAAAATACTGATTCGAAGGGACACGTGCACCCTAATGTTTATAGCAGCATTATTAACAATAGCTAAATTATGGAAAGAGCCTGAATGTCCATTGACTGATGAATGGATAAAGAAGATATGGTATACCTCTAGTATCTCGAGTACCATTCGACCATGAAAAAGAATGAAATCTTGCCATTTGCAATGACGAAGATGGAGCTAGAGGGTATTATGCTAAGCTAAATAAGTCAGTCAGAGAAAGACAAATACCGTATGATTTCACTCATATGTAGAATTTAAGAAACAAAACAAATGAACATAGGGGAAGAAAAGAGAGAGGCAAACCATAAAACAGACTCTTAACTATACAGAACAAACAGGGTTGCAGGAGGGGAAGTGCCTGGAGGGATGGGCCGAATGGGTGATGGGGATTAAGGAGGGCCCAAATGGGTGTTGGGATGAGCAGTGGGTGTTATATGTAAGTGATGAATCCTAAATTCTACTCCTGAAACCAATATTGCACTATATGTTAACTAATTGGAATTTAAATAAAAACTTGAAACAGAAAAAGTGAGTATCACAAATAAAATTGATAGTACAAAAAATGAAAAAAAAGAACTGGAGGTATTGGGTGGGTAGGTACAAATGTTTGCTCTAAATACCAGGGCTAATATTTATCTCTAGCTTGTCCATGCTTCAAACACTATAGTTCCTCCTAAGAGGTGTTTTGCAAAGGCCAGAACACATGAATTTCTTCAAAAGCAATAATTCTTATTAAAATTGAGATCCAATGTCAGAAAATTTACATAGTTTTCTGAAGTGCTACAGTATTCTTCTGAGGAATGTTAGCACTTAGCTTCTTGTTCCTTTCCTTTTTAAATGATGCCATTACATCATAAGTTAAAATCAATACAACGTTATGTTGAGTGAAATAAGTCAAACAGAGAAAGACATGTATCATATGATCTCACTGATATGAGGAATTCTTAATCGCAGGAAACAAACTGAATGTTGTTGGAATGGGGGTTGGGGTGGGAGGGATGGGGTGACTGGGTGATAGACACTGGGGAGGGTATGTGCTCTGGTAAGCGCTGTGAATTGTGCAAGACTGTTGAATCTCAGATCTGTACCTCTGAAACAAATAATGTAATATATGTTAAGAAGAAGAAGGTAGTGGGAGGGGAAGAATGAAGCGGGGGAAATCGGAGGGGTGGACGAACCATGAGAGACGATGGACTCTGAAAAACAAACTGAGGGTTCTAGAGGGGAGGGGAGTGGGAGGCTGGGTTAGCCTGGTGGTGGGTATTGAAGAGGGCACGTTCTGCATGGAGCACTGGGTGTTGTGCACAAACAATGAATCATGGAACACTTCATCTAGAACTAATGATGTAATGTATGGGGATTAACATAAGAATAAAAAAAAAAGAAAAAAAATCAATACAACGGAACAATGTAGCAAGCATATGCCTCTATTACGTAGTATATTATAATATAGTCTATAGTATATAACGTAATTGATAATAATTTTATGGTATATTATACTATATTTAAGTATTTTATTTTATTTTTATTTTTTAAAGATTTTATTTATTTATTTGAGAGCAAGAGCAAGCACGAGTGGCGGGGGAGGGGCAAAGAGGGAGAAGCAGGCTTACTGCTGAGCAGGGAGCCTGATGCGGGGCTCGATCCCAGGACCCTGGAACCATGACCTGAGCCGAAGGCAGATGCTTAACCAATTGAGCCACTCAGGCGCCCCTATTTTTAAGTATTTTAAAAGTCACATTTCCATTGCATAATGGTAACTGTGGTGTGTGTACACCTGTGTGTGTATTATCGGTGGTCCCACACTTGGATATAACTGATGTGTGTTGAGCTTGCAACCCGAAGTGTGAGAACTGATATCATTCTACAGATGGACTTTAAATAGACTTTCAGAAGTCAATTCCTAAACTGTAGGAAATGGTCATTCTTGACTTACGGCTTAACCACTTTGTGGATTTGTCTGAAAATAATTGAAATTTGGGGATGTTTTCTCCCCTGTTTGGCCAGTTTCCATCACCATTCATTACATGTTTAGATGATGCAAATTTATTTGGGTGTTAGCCCTCAGTCCCGACATAAATGGAAGATGGCTGTAAAAATATCCATAAGTTCTCAGGCCACAGTTTTCAGTTCCACTGACTAATGGATGAAGTTTTTACCTTGTGCCCACATCACCCTGGGATCTGGGAATATATTAAAAGAGTAAGAAAACACCATCCCTTTTCCTGAGTATTCTTCTCTTCCTGTGGGCAAGCAAGACATAAATGAACAAATCAGAAAAAATAGAAATCAGCAAATAATAGTTAATTGGGGGCAGCAGGGAGGAGAACCACAGTGCGCAGGTGTCTCTGGGACAGACTGAGGAAGAGGCTACCGCTTGGCAAAGGCTTGAAAAGGATGGGGGGACGGAGAGGGTACAGAGGGCAGAAAGCCCTTGAGGGGGCAGGAGGAACAGAACAATGTGGGGATGCACGGGAAGCATGATTGGGGGTTTGCATGGTCTGCATTGCTACCCTTTTTAACAGCAGGGATAGTTAAGAGATTACTGTATGTGTAAATTTGGGCCACGGCCAAATAAGACCCAATTTGTTCATAAACTTCATTTTTTAAGGACTATGAATTCATCCCCTTTTCTGAGCAATAAATTAACATTTTATGAAGATTATGCTGCAGACACAAAATTGAATGCCTCTTTAAACACCATGATCACCAGCAGCGCATCCAATTTGTCATTGCTAAATTGTGTATTAAGCTAAATAGTTGCTCATATGTTTTGGATTTTTTGTTGATAATTATTTTTTTCCTTTCCAGATTTTCCTGCATGGAAACAACTTAAACAGCCTTCACCAGCTAATCCACCCCGAATTTTTGCCCTCTGAATTTGGAGGAACCCTTCCTCCTTATGACATGGGAACTTGGGCCCGGACGTTACTTGGTCCAGACTACAGTGATGAAAATGACTATACTCACACTTCCTACAATGCAATGCACGTGAAACACACATCCTCCAATCTGGAGAGAGAATGCTCCCCCAAGCCGATGAAGAGGTAAGACCTGCATTATCAGAGCCTCCCAGTCAGAGGTGAATAAGCATTTTTGATTTGGGCCTATTGCGGGTTAAGTAATTGAAGACCTTTATGGGCACAGAACTTGAATAAAATAAAATGCAATACATTCTCAGCTGATTTCACTAGAATTGAAAGCAAATGGGGCTTGGCTGGCCCAGAAATCGAGTTGTCCTTGTTGTATTAAGGAAACAATTAAAGGCTGGACCTTGCTCATGTCACAATTACAGTGCACGTCTCTAGGGAGCCTGAGTTAACACACAGAGAATGAAATGTTGGGCCTTTGAGATGGCCTGGATTGAAAAAGCAACCTGCCAGAAAGCATTCCTATCATCCATGCATTTAGAACCATTTATTGAGCATTTAATTGCCTATAGACACTGATGGGCACTGGGAACACGCATATGAATAAGACATCAAAAGAACAGAGAAGCGTGGCCCAGGAAAATCTGTCCAGTAAGACTTTTGTCAACTTGTTTATAAAGCGGGTGACACTGGAGCTAGGCTCTGAAGGATGAAAATCAGCAACCCAGGCTTAAAAAGGAGGAGAAGGCATTCTAGGCAGAGGGGATAGACGGAGGCATAGAGGCATGGAGGCATCAGAGGGATGGGATATTCTGGTGTGGCCAACAGGTGCATGAGGGGTGTGGGTGGGCGTGGACGTGGAATGAAGTTCTAAAGATTGTTGCATCTGGGTGGTGAAGTGTATTGTATACTGGATTTAATAGAGTGCCATGAAAGAGGGATTTTTAAAATCGATGTACAAATAATAGATGAGTGCTTTCTCATTGCAAAAATTAAAACCTTATTTTTAAGGCTATAATCCCCCAATTTCAAACTCAATTCCTCCCAAAGGTAACCACTGTTATGAGACTAAGGTGGACTCTTCTATTCCATTTTCCATATATTACATGCATCTATCCACACCCACAGAAAATATTGAATATTGTATATTAGTTTGCTAGGGCTACTGCAACCATGTACCACAGACTGGGCAGTTTAGACAACAGAAATGTGTTTTCTCACAATTCTGGAGGCTAGAAGTCCAAGATCAAGGTGTTGGCAGGGTTGGTATCTTATGAGACCTCTCTCCTTGGCTTGTAGATGTCTGCCTTCTCCCTGTGTCCTCACATAGACTTCCCTCTGTGTGTCTGTGTCCTAATCCCTTTCTACAATACCAGTCATGTTGGATTAGGACTTACCCTAAAGACTCTTTTACCCTAATTACCTCCTTTGAAGTCTCTATCTTCAAATAGAGTCACCTTCGGAGGTACTGGGGGTTGGGGCTTCAACATATGAATTTGGGGGGGGCAGGGAACAGTTTATCCCAGTAACATATTATTATGTACATCCTTCTATGCCAGTGAATCTAGACACATCTCATGCTTTTAATGCTGCATGGTATTCCAGTAGATGAATATGTCACAGTTTAGCCGTTTCTCTCCTGATGGGTATTTAGCTTATTTCTGAGGTCTTTCTCTATTTCGAATGAAAAGACTCGGTGTAAGTCCTTGATATGCCTCCTTTGTTCTCACAGGAAGTTCCTCAGGTAAACTTGGAGCTTGTAGTCGCTGTGTCAGAGAGTCTGTGCATTTTAAATTTAGCCCACACTGCCAAGTGGCCCTCCAAAATGACCGTTCAGATGGATACTCCCACCAGCATGTGTGAGAATGTCTTCCCCAGACTCTTGAAAAGTACTTGATATTATCAGACTTTAATTCTAATCATCATCCTGATGGCAGGACCGTTCTATGTCATTTTTGTTTTCTCCTCACCAGACATAGTTGAGCAGAGAAATGAGTTCTGGGTTTTATGAGGGTCATGGAATTCGCAGGGAAATGCAGACTCAAAGCCATCAGAAGGTGGATGAGGGCCGTAGCTAATACTGAAACAATGAAGATTGCTATACTGTAGAGGTATTTGGGGAAGGAATAGTGTCACTGTTAGAGTCTCCTATGGATAACTGGGCTTATACTGATGTCCTGAAGCAAGAGAGTGTCCAGGAGGAGGATCTCCACATTTCCTGCTCAGTTGGGAATATCGCGTTCACATGTCTGGTAAAGCCTCTCTGCTGAGACTGGAGCAATCTGGAAATTCATTTATTCCCCAGGTTAACAGCCGACATTCTCTGGGAAGTGTTGGTCACAGGGTTGAGAGCCTGGCTTTGTATCTCTACAGTAAAGGGCCTGACGATCGTCCCACCCAGGTTCTGACCCGCTCTCAGCCCAGGCTCCAGCACAGTAATGATAATGTAACAACTCACATTACTGACACTGCTCTGAGCCCATACCCGCATTAATTCTCTAAATCCTCACCGTAACTGTATGAGAAAGGTTTGATGATTATTCCTAGTTCGCAAGTGAGGAAACTGAGACACAGAGAGGTTAAGCAACTGCTCAAGGTCACACAGCTAGTAAATGGCCAAGCTGGGATTCAGAGTTGGGCAGCCTGGCTCCACACCCTGCATTCCTGTCCTCTATAAGATATGGCACACTGTCTGCTTTTCCTCATACTTTCTAGCCTCACCTCTAGTGCCAGTCTTCTCTCTCTAATCCCTCCACAGGCAGGAACAATGACCCTTCCTGTGGTTTGTCCCTACCTTATCTCTAGAGACTTAGATAAAGTCATCATACCCTCATATTTGTTGGAATGTCCAAAGTCCAGTGGCATAAAGTAGGAATTTGCCACTTTTTCTCCAGATGATCAGTTACAGACTTACATCTCTTTTGGGTGACTAGACATGTCCTGACTCCAAGTTCTGCCTCTGAGTTGACATTGAGGATCAGAGGAGGTGATAGCCTCCGTTATGAGATGGTGAGTTCTGGAGGCTAAAGTCTTCGAATAACATTTATTTGCTTTACACCCTCCTCAAGAATCAAACTCAATGTCCGACACACAGTAGACACACAACAGACACCCTATACATGCTTGCTGCATATGAATGAATTAATGTTGAATGAGCTGCTACCTACAAAACCCACCCTTGGTACAGTTGTCCAATTACTCAGAGCTGATTTCTCCTGGCTTTCATGGATCCTGACTTATAGAATCTTACAGCCTACTAAGGGAGATAAGATTTTCCCACAAATAACTCTAATATAGTGCAGAATGAATGAGGTACTATAAAGGAGGTGTAAGAAGCTGCTGCAATGTTCTAAGGAAACATTCACTAATCTCAACCAGGAAGACTCTTAGAGAAGTCTTCTTGGACAAAGGCAGGTTTTGGAAAAGGTAAGATATTGAAGTCAAAATCCAAGACTATGCCAGAGAAACTAGTAATTGTGTACCTCTCATTACCTTACCAAGGCCATCAAGGTATCCTGCTCATTCTTGCTTTCATTGGCGGTGGCGTCCTTGGGCCGTTGCTTGAGGATTTTACTTATTTATTTATTTTAGCGGGGGAGGGGCAGAGGGAGAGAGAAACTCAAGCAGATTCTGTGCTCCACGCGGAGCCTGATGCAGGGCTCGATCTCACGACCCTGAGATCGTGACCTGAGCCGAAACCAAGAGTGGGCCGCTTAACTGAGTGTGCCACCCAGGTGCACCCCATTTCTTGGGGATTTTAGGCAGCAGCAGGATGGGCCATGAGGAGATTGGTACCACAGTGATGCAGCAAGGAGGGACCACCCCAGCTGTGGGACTGTGCCTGTTGTCAGGTGCTTCACTGATGGACGTCTGTGGTGACTGAGAAAATTACAGGGACAGAACAGCCACCATTCATAGCATCTCTGAGCCTTCAGAACCCATAGGGACATGGGGAAATGGAAAACAGAATTGGAGATCTTAAAGGTCATCTCTTCCAGCTTCCCACCTGAGGTGGTGCCTGTCCTCCAGCCCAGGCTGTCAGCTAGCCTTAGTGTGCATTGTCCAGAAATGGGCAGGCAGCTAACAGGGCAGTGTGTGCCCTGGAGCATGGCTTCAGGAAGTACCATCCTGGGTCTGAGCCAGATGACCTGGGTCTGTCCTGTGGGATACCGTTCCAACTTCCAATGGGTAGACACTGCCCAGAGTCCCAATCCCTCCCACCATAATTCCCACCAGTCTTCAGGTCCATTTAGAGTCAAATGGACTTCTGTGGACTGTCTTTGGAACCTAGTCACTATTTATAATGTGGCCTCTGAGTTCCAAGTGGCTCAGAACAATGCTCTCTGGCATGTGTAGAGTAAAATCCAAGATGTATAAAATTTTCAGTGGATTAGTGGGTCTAACAAGCTCTTTTCTTCTTCCAGATAAATTTGATTCAACCCTTAAGCAGAAAAACTTAAAAAAAAATTATTAGTTTAGCACCTGGATGGCTCAGTCGGTTAAGAGTCTGCCTTTGGCTCAGATCATGATCCCAGGATCCTGGGATCGAGCCCTGCATCGGGCTCCCTGCTCAGCGGGGAGCCTGCTTCTCCCTCTCCCTCTGCCTCTCTCCCCTGCTCATGCCCTCCCTCTCTCTCTGTCAAATAAATAAATAAATCTTTTTAAAAAATATTCGTTTAGATGGAAAATTTTCTAAACAGATTATTTCAATATTGATCGTTTCTTTAATAAAATGATGATTTATGGGCTTTTGAGTGTGTAGCATTCTCTACTCCACTGCTAAATGACCCCGAGTGTTGTATTTTTACCTTCCTGTTCCTGTTTTTTATTTTATAATTTACTCTATTTCCTTGCTTCCGGGCCGTCAGTCGTCACTTTCTGTTTCTGAAACTAGGTATGTCAGAAGCACTCTGTTTCCTTCTATCTAATTTACTGCTGGACTTGTTTTCAGCTTGAAAAGTAGGTAGCCCAACCTAATAAAACTGTCCAACAAATAACAGTAAATAGGCTCCGTAATGGTTATGATGATTTGGGCTGCAAATAAGATAAAACTCCAGCTGGACTGCTTCAAACGATATGGACAATTGATCCTTTCACATAACGAGACGTCACAGAGTGAGGTGACTACAGAATTGCGTGTTCCAGTAGCTCATGGGTGGGGTCCGTGACCCAGGCTC